AATCTGCGCTGAAGAAATTGGCGCTGACATGTCCCGCGCTTAAAAATTTCGTGCTGAAATCATCGGCGCTGTCAAGACACTGCGCTGAAATGGCACCGAGCTGAAATGCCTCGCGCTAAGGCGGTCACGCTGAAGTGCAACGCACTAACATGGACGCGCTGTCGCGGGAGGGTACCGCAGCAACAGCAGCAACAACAACAGCAGCAGCAACAGCAGCAACAACACACATATGTGCACACACATGCACAAGAAAGAGACATGAAAATGCAGGTACATGTATATCGGTTGTGTGTGTTTCAGATACAGATGCAGCTAGGCATCTCGACATGTTATATGGTGTGGTCAGAAAGTAATACTTATACCGTGCCCAGTGTTCGGCTGCTCAGATTTGAACAGCTTTGAGTTATAAGTACAATGGATAGCTGAACCAATGTGATAGGCAGTATAGGCTGAGCAAGCCTGAGTTCAAAGCTTTACCACTCTAACGTTACAGTCGACTCCAGATTTAACGAACACCAATGTGCAGGAGAATTAGTTCTTTATGGCCGAAATTCTTTGTAACTAAAATTGCACTCGCGCCATACAAGCAACACGTCACGCCTGGCGTGCGGCCCATGACTGCATATTAAAGTGCACTTGATTTACATGCTCTCCTAAAAGACATGATTTGCTATTAATGAAAGCAGCTCTCCGGGTCAATTGTGTACGGGTTCAAGCAGGGACAAGGACAATGATTCGCTATATCCCGAAATTTGCAACAAGCGAGTTTGTTACATAATATGTGGAGCTGTATAGCTGTAAAACTCTCACATGCAGTGAATGTAGTAAAAGAGTATTGCACATCACACGGGTGTTGTCACGGAACAGCCAACCACAAGCCAGTCTGCGCAGGCTGTACTTTTTTTGCACCGCTCAGTGTTTGCGTTCGGAGTGGATGTTTGATGCAGAAGGCCTCAAGCTGCTTGGTGCAGACATATTTCCGAATCAGAGCAGGGTGACCTGAAGCTAGCGGTGTGGAGCCAATGCATCCGGATCAATTTGGCGCTTTTTAAGTTTTTATAACACGTGTCACTGCAGCTAGAAGCACAATACCCTAATTTTGTGCAATGCATGCTGAGCGGCGAGTCTGCGAGGGCGTCCGGCCGCCGGTTCTGATACATGCCGTCACCGCTGCGGCGAAGCACGTGTACGCACGCACAGACACGCTGTGAGCCTACTACAGCACTGCTCAGTGAAATCCGAAAAGAAAAGGTTGCTCAAGTAAGCGCCGGGAATTGCGCAGCCCTAAACCTGCAAACACTGGGCTGCGAAATGGTGCAAGGCGCGAACTTGATTCACGTGCTCGGATTTCATCAAGCAGCACTGTGTGTTAGTACATACATGTATGTAGTAAACCCTGTCAAGGCGACCACTCGGATAAAGCGACCACCTGTCCTAGAAGACCACCGCAACCAGGACCAAGGGACGCTATTTCCAGTCGAATGACCCTGAATAGGGAGACTACCTCAGGCCCGGCAAAACCGGTCCAGTTGGGCCGGCAATGGCCGGACCAACTTTTCGCCCATCGACGTGTGTTTACTGCTGGTTTGGTCACGTGTAGCCACCATCATACACAAACTGTATGACGGGCTAGGGTATGACCGGACCCATCAAAAACTCCTTACGCTTGCCTTGCACCTGGCAACAAAGACAACGTTTTGGAGGTCCCTTGGCTTGAGCGGTCGTCTTAGACAGGTTTCACTCACTGTATGACCCTCCTCCCCCCCCCCCCCCACCCCCCCCCCCCCCCGACAAGTGCTGAAGTGGAGCAGTGTCCCAGTGGCAGTGAACATGACCATGATGACAGTCTGTAGATTAACGGGACAGTATACCAGATCGGCGTTAGCCTTTGGGTAATCCTGAACTAAAGATTATTGCTCATGGTATAGGAGTACACACGGCCCTGGCTTACCCAGCTGTTTACTGATCTCGGAATTGTGCATGTTCGGATGGTTGCGGGCGATCACTTTCCTTTCCTCTAGTGCAAACAGCATGAACGCATTCATGGGCCTCTTGATACGATTGCTGCTCTTGCCGCCGCCAGTGGCGGATAAAGGTTTGTCCGGCTCCGTGTCACCAACGAGCTGCGACTCGCTGTCGGCAAGCGGCTGCCGGCTGTTCCCATTGTCGACTTCAGCAGCAGCAGCTTGACTCTCAGGTGCAGGGACTGTGCATGTGAGCACGGTCTCGTCCACCGCCGCATTCCCCCGCATCATTGTATCACCACTGGCCCGTGGCGAGGACAGACTCACAGGCACTCACTGTTACTCACTGTTATTTGAGTAACCAGTATCAGACAATAGAAACACGATCAGATACAGGTGATCACGCGCCACACGTGTGAAACGTCTTTCCTCCTATCACAAAACAGATGAAACCTAACGGACACACTGACGGCAGTTCTTTCGAGCGTTTCCGCCGCGATCCGCAGACAGCACGCCACTCCGCACTGCTAGTCCAACAGGATGGGAAGCTTTGCAAGAGAATTCCGGCGCTAACGTTAGCCGTAAATAAAATAGCGCCACTATACAATCCAAAAAGACGCTCGTTCGGAACTTCCGCTTCAGCCTCGCTTCTTGGCTTGTTCTAGCTGCAAACAAATCCTTGCCTTGGCTTGAGCGAAGTACACTGATTATGTCAACGATCTACATAATGCGTGGCAAAACTGCCAAAAGACTGGAGTGGAGTATTAGTAGGGACTTCAATTGAAAAATCAAATTCGCGAGTTTTGCATAAAACGCTAGTTTTTCTAAACCGGGAAGAATCGAGAAACAACCTGTGAAAATTTGAACCCAAAATTCCAAGGCAATCTAGAGTTATAGTCGATTGAAGATCGGAAAACGGGGGAGAAAGTAGTCACAGAAGTAAATGCAAGTATGTATGGGAGCCGTGTGGTTTCCGTCCAGCACTGCACTATCTGGTGCATACATGGCGATACAGGATGTGTGCATGCATGCAGTGTGCACGCATGCCGTGCGCGCCGACTTGCACAAGTCACACGTTTTCACCGTCACTGCTTCTACCAGTGTGCGCGCAGTTCACTCGATTTTTTCGTCTACCACCAGGAAATCGCCGTGGGCTGGTTTCTGTGATCATTTTCCTTCTACGGCGATAAAGCGCGAGCCTCAATGTTGTAGAATCCTCTTGGTTTAGGCTAATTCGAGGCCGCTGAACACGAAAATCAGGTGTTCCTCGCGAAGCCGAGTACGGATCTGGTCGAAATTAGTACTTCGAAGTGCACCCGCGCCAAGCGCGGAGGCATTATTTTTGGAAGCATGGCATGTGTGGCACCATTGGAAAGGTAATGACCTCAGCTACCTAAAAATAGCATCGACAAGGCCGAAAAGGCCGCGGGAGAAGATACTCGGGCCGCGAACTGCATCTCGAACTGCAGCCACGAGGCGCCCATTCACTTTCAGGGCTCACCACGACCATACAAAGCGTCAATAACGGTCATTTGGATTTGACCAATCAGCGCACAGCAAAACGGGCTGTTTCTTGCAATTGTGGGGTGTTTTCTGAGTGGAGCTTGGCTGTATTCGTTGGTTTTAGACATTAGGCCATTGTGGATTCGTGTTCAGAAGGTGTGTCTTTGGGGGGTTACCGTCTCGAATTTTTCGATTTGGCCTTCGTTTGGCTGAGATCGGATGGTGAAATCACTCAAACGCGAAGGCGTGCAAACAAGTGAATGAAGAGAAAATTAGAAATCGGGGACGGTAAACCGATAGAGAATTCCAAGACCTTGAAAATGAGCTATCGATGATGAGAATCGGCCAAGGAGAACCGCTGTTCTACTTTTTTGAAGACATCAAGGTCGGCCGTGCGTCGCCGCGCGCACCAACAAAAACTGGCAGCCGTGCGCATATCTGCAAGTGCAACAAGAAAGGGCGGAGGAGACAGCAAGCGTTCCAAGTGAAGAGTTTACCTTCGTGTTGACTCAAGCTAAGGACTCATGCCAGTGAGGGATCATACTAGTCACCTCTCATCATGGTCATGACTAAGGGATTCATTTGTGACAAGGAAACTCCCCACTCGCAGCGTGAAAGCTGCGAGGCCAAACAGAAAAGAGTGTGCCGAGTCGCGATCAGGAAACGCTGAGTTCTACTGACAACATTGGTTAGCTAGGCGCGGCAAATTCTTGTAGATGCCAGGACTCAAGTTCACCAGTACCCCACGGACATATCTTGGTCGACACCCACCAGCGGATTGAGAAAAATGACCAAGATTGCTTGGAGAAAGGACGTCTTCTCCGCGTGTCTTTCTCGACATCAAACAACAAGATTCGCTTCGGCACTGGCCCTTCGCTGTACAGATCAGAGTAGACCAGGAAGTCGTACCGGTATTTTACGACTAGACTGTACATCGCTGTACATCGATGAGCATGAACTCGGGTGCGTAGCCGCTATGACTGCACAAACTCTGGCTTTGGCGGCATTCAAAATGGTGGTCGACGCTTTTTGAATTTTGTATGGTCGTGGTGAGCCCTGACTTTGTACAGGCGAGCTGTGACTGCACTTTTCGCTTTTCAGTGACCGGAACTGAACTCCCTAGTATTAGTACTACTGCCGAGCGTCGTCGGACACAAGTCACACTAAAGCCTTGGCCTGCTCTGACTAAACTCTGAAGTGTAGAGTGCAGTAGCGCGTCACACTATGTCATGCATCACCTGGTCTGGTGGTTGATCGAGTGTTTTTCACGCATCCGGTCACCTGGCTCGGACATTCAGCCGCCAGCGTCGGCGGGCTCCGCCGCGCGCGAGCGCTACTTCAAAGATGTCTTGTTCTAGTTGTAGCACCCAAACATCTGAGTGAAAGTGAAATCGAAACTCGGACTGAAAAGGGAGCACAGGCAGGGAGTCAGTCGTATTTGACGACTCCCTGGCCGGCCCGATGCAATACTACTATACTACCAGTCCGACTACGACTGAACTAAACGAGCTACGTGAATATACACGACCCAAA